ACTTACGCTACGGGTGAAATATGCGATTTAAATACCTCAGACCATAGTAAATAGAGTTACATCAAATCCATAGAAATACGGAAAAACGTAAATATTCCACTTCCAATAAATGTACAAGTGAGGCCAATTATATTTTTTCAGAAAATAATCTGAAACAACGGCTCAATGATAATGATACTCAAATAAGCTGTAGCCTCACCAGCTTATGGAACATTTTGAAAGGTATAGGCTTTTGATATCTTATGATTGACAAAAGACAAGTAATTATGGAATTTCATAGATTACAAAAATGGCGTTATGAGTATATAACTTGTAACGTCGATTTTTTGATAACATCCAGTTCATACATTTAATTCAAGGTCAGGTTAGCTTATGTCGGAAAGAAAGGCGTGTTAAGGTCAACTTCACAAAAAACTACGTAGTATGTCAAAATTTCAAACACAATTAGATAACTAAAATTAAAATTTATCATTGGACGCCACCTCTTTGTTTATCCTCGCAGGGGACGAGAAAAGATAAGATATATAAAAAAAATTTACAGCGAAATTACCTTTATTTCTCAGTGATAAAAAGAAACATTAAAAGTTGTTATTTTCAAAGGATACTATTACATTTCTATAAACAAAGCAACTTTCTATCTTTTTAAATCAAGAATTGGTTGATAGAAACAAACGAATTTATATATTATTCCCAAATTTCGAAATTCGTTTACATTTGAAATATTATAGTAGTTATTTATTAACTAGTCAACATAGAAAAGTTAAATCCATTTATTAACTAAGCATAATAGAAAGGTTAAGTCTTTAAACAAAATTTAAAATATTTCTCTATATTCTTGTCTCTGTGAATCCATAAATAATTCTCGCGTTCCTGATAGGGCTTAATAAAAAAAAGGTACAACCTTATTTATCCAATCTCTGGGAACCAGGATAAAAGGGACATACTCTGCTTCTCCTCATCCGCTGATTATTTCGTCAAATATTGACTAATAAGAATCAATTTACATAATAGATAATTATTGGAAACCATATATAGGGAAGTATTGGACCATAGGAAACTGTCTCAGTTAACTTAACATAATCAATGGACTTAACCTTCCGAAAAAAGAGTCTCTAATCTAGAGACTCACTTCGAGAACGCTTCCTATCGGGTGGACGTTTGTAACAGGAAAGAAAGCGACGCTCTTCAACGGTTTTGACTTGGTGGCGTGATTGACAAGTTAATATCGTTCTCATCTCTCGGATATGTTGGGAATTACCGTAGAAACCTTGAGTCGAATACAAGCGCCTGGCAGATAGGTGGGGTTAGTAGTTTTATTTAAAAAAAAAATAATCAAATTTATAATTAATTTTCTAAAACTTTTGAAACGGTTACAAACTTCGATAAGAAAATTCCGTTCTAAAAATCGTCCGATAATTTACCTCGACTAGACATATTTTAACACACATTCAACACGATCTAAAGGATTTGCCGATACCTCCGGTAAATGTAAGACAAAAGCTCCGTCAAATAAAGGAAAAAGAATAACGATTTTACATGCTGGATCAGAAAATGGTTGGGTTCCAAATACCCTGTGGCTTTCTGCAAAGAATATGAAAGACTCCTGCGTCGACTACCATAACGATATAACAGCAAAACTTTTTGAAGAATGGTTTAAAAATAATCTTATGCCAAACGTTCCTCAAATAGCGTGATAATAATGGACAACGCATTTTTAAGAGTCGTCATCAAGTAAGGCTCCAAACTCGAATAATACTAAATTGTACATTTAAAATTACATAGAGACGAATGATATGTATTTTGAACAATGTTACACCAAACAAGAGCTTTTAGAAGTTTTAAACGCATTTTCTATAAAAATCTATATGTTTGTGATACATTGGCAGAGGAAATGGGACATACAGTGTTTCGGATTTAACCCTATTATTGCATGTTTAATTCCATAAAACATATTATGTGGCACCAACGTAAGGTCACAAAATATTTCTCCAACGTTAAGTAGTGCTGTTGTACTTTTAATCTACTGTATGCGTGTATAGCCGCAGTATACGCGATGTGATTAATGAATATGAACTTACGGGAACATTGTCGACACCAAAATCAGTTGAGCATCGTAAAAGTATTGTTAACTCGCTGAATCAATTTGACAGAGAAGCGATAAGAAGAATAATCCATCAATTATTTTTTCGAAATGAAATACCTACAATAGACAAAGTTCTGGGGGCTGTTAATAAAGATCCGGTTTTGCCTAACTTCAAAAGAACTACGTTTTTTAAATTATTGAAAGAAATAAATTTTAAGTTTCAATGTCGTCAGCGAATGCATTCCCTGTCCATCAGCCTTTAATTGATAGGAACCAAATTGTCTTGTGGAGACGAGAATTTCTAATAAACATTAAGTGCTACTAAAATGAAAACCGCAAAATTTAATACTTAGATGAGACTTCTCATCTAAGTACTAAACTCCGAATTAACTGACGAATTCGTCACACCGAATCTAAAGTATGGGAATAAAGCGTTTTTAGATGGACTTTTTGCGGAGTTAAAAAATCCTGCAGGTAAATGTTTCTGTACTTTGATCTAATGAAAGGCCAATATTGAGCACACTTTGGAAAACCTTATATCAATTTAAATGTTTATGTGCTTTTTACATCAAGTAAATTTTAAAATAATAACATTTTTAGGAAAAGGGAAAAGACTAATAATCTGTCACATTGACAGTGAAGAAGGGTTTGTTTCAGAAGGTCTGTAGATGTTTGAATAAAAAAAGTGAAGAGATGGACGGGAAATTTTTCGAACATTGGTTAAAAAATATAGTGCACCGATTAGAAGACAACTTCATCATCGTATTGGACAACGCTTCTTATCATTTCAAAAAATTAGAAATTATTCCAACTAGTGTTTTTAGAAAAGCTGACATCCAAGCGTAGCTGAAAAAAAAAGGGTTTGAGGACTCCATGTTAAAAGTGCAACTGTTGGCTATCGTTAAGGAACATATGGGTAATATAATAAATATATCATTGATGAGATGCCAAAAAGGCTAAAGAAAGTAGTGTTAAGGCTGCCCCTATACCATTGTGAGCTCAATCCGATTGAGCTTATCTGGGTAGAAGTAAAAAATTATGTAGCAGCCAAAATCACTACTTTTAAATTTGCAGATATGAAAAATATTTTTTATGATGATATAAATAATATTAGTTCTATGTGTGCAACACGTTTAACAAAATATCGAGTCCAAAATGTGGAAGTTGAACAATATAATAGAGAACCATATCGAAACCATTCAGGCGAAGACAATAGCACGGTCATGTAGCGCTTCTCAAACTGAATAATTTAAATGGTATGTTTTTATGCTTTTATAAACTTATAAAAACGCTACTTTATTTAAAATGTTTACTTTGGTATGTATCTCTCAGTTAATGAATATTTTATTTTAGCACATTTTTCTTCAATGAAACAGTAAATTTTGTTCACAATGATTAAATTTTAAGAAATTCTTACACTCATAGTTTCAAAAGTAAATATTTTTAAAAATCATACGATACACCTCAGTACGACATTGTTTTCACGTGCGTTTGTTGACAATTGGGAATATGTAAAATGAATGTAGTTTAATATCTTAATTATATATTAATAAGCAAGAACAAATTAAGATTTTTTTGGTTAAACTGAGTAGTTGTGTTAAGTGCACTAATTTTATCGAAAAGACCAAACATATCACATATAAGAGATACTGTTTACATTAATGACCTTAATAAAAGGAAAGCTTTAGCGAAACAATGTGGGTTGAACCACACAAAAAATCGCATTTTTCAAATTCGATAAAACGAACAAACTAATCTTTATCACCTGAAAAACCATAAATAGGGTTAGAACTATGGTCGCTATAATCAAACAAATATGGCTGAAAAAAAGCTTTATAATGTAAACTGCAACTGTAAAGAAAGATAAATAATGGAAAATCTTGCAAAATTGTACCGAGTACAATGATTTTGGCTACAGAATAAAAATGAGTCCAACGTAATAAACACTGAGCAGAAATTCTATCAATAATCTGTTCGTATACATAAAGGATAATAGATAATCTGAATAAAATACCAAAAATAAAAAGAAGGTACTGGTAGTAAGTCTGGAATAAAAATTGAATGTACAATTAGCTAGACTACATACAGGAAATGTCAATACAACATCTGGTTGGATAAAGAGGCGCTATTAACAAAACTAAAACCAACACTAATATACGAAATAGTATGTAGTTCTAACGTAAAAGACGGTAAATTATTAAAACATATTGATATTACATATACGTACATCATTTATTAAACTTAAAAAGTTTGTTTGTTGTCGGGATATAAGGTTAGAACTACGCCTGAGAATGCTTCGATGTTACGTGTTCTCTACACTTCTTTATGGTTTGGAAGCTTTAACACTAAAACAAGTTCATCTGAATAAGTTGGCCGCCTTTGAATTTTGGTGTTACAGAAGAATCCTACGAATATCATGGATTCAAAGAATGTCAAACATGGAAGTAACACGGAAATAATATTAACTATTAAAAGACGAAAACTTGAGTACTTGGGTTATGTGATGAGAGGGCAAAAATACGCATTGTTATAACTTATTATGCAGGGCAAAATCCGAGGAAAGCGAAATGTGGGAAGAATATCCTGGCTTATGGACTTAAGGGAATGGTTTGAATGCAGTAGTGCAGAACTTTTTAGAGCGGCAGTCAACAGAGTCCGCATAGCCATGATGATTTCCAACCTTCGATAGAAGATGGAACTTAAAGAAGAAGAATAATATTACAAAATCATAAACCTGTTGAAACTAGAAAACTAGTATTTTTGTTTGACTATGGTGTGGACTAATGAAAATCAATTTAATCTTGCTGTTAGTTGTTAACTGGGTTATATACAACAATAAACCTAAGTTATTTGTAAGAATATTAATAGCATTATATTGTTAACATAGGCAGATTTTTGTTTAAGTTTAAAAATATACCTGTCGTAGGTTTTACTGGAGTTGAAAGTAATGTAGTAGGATTTAAAGTCGTAGTTATCCTAGTGGTATTTGGTTGTGAATTAGAAGCCGTTAAATTATTTTTAACAGTTGTAGTAACTTCTTCCATAGTTGTATCTGTATAACCACCACTAAAATCTGTTTCTTGGAGATTACTTTCTGTTATTGTAGGCGGAGTAGTTGTTTTAACAGGTATTGTTTCTGTAGTTTGATGGACTTCAGTAGTATTTATAGGTTTTAATGTAGTAGTAGACTTATCTGTAATCAAGGCAGTTGTTGATAAAACCTTTGTTTGTGCTTAAGAAATTAGTAAAGTTTGTTTAGCAGTAAATGTTTGACTTCAATTAGTACTGACCATAAACATCCTGGATTAACCCATAATAGTATAAAAGGTCCGGTTTCAGGTAAAATAGAAATATGATTCCTGGTAAAATTTGGCAATCTTCATTTCTTAATGTTGATTTAATTGCGTACAATATAAACTCATTGTAATTTCATTAATACAGATAAGGCTGATATTTACGAAACTGTACTGATAAAAGGGTTTTTCTAATTTGATGGTAGTGGTAGTGCGAAGTTTATTCTAAAACTCATTTGAAAACATTAACTTCGTGGATCCTTTTCTTTATTATATGAGTACCGTCTAGTCAGTGTTAATTGTCAAAAGACCGACTTCTGGTTACCTCGTTTGCTTATCGCTTCGAACTGGTGTTTAAAATGGGCCAAGTCAGATAAATTTAATAATATTTACGAACGCACTAATTGAAGTCAACCATTTTCTGCTTAACAAACTTTACAGGTTTTTCTGTAGTTGTTTTCAAATGCTCTAAGCTCTATATAAGTATTTATGATATAATCTATTGTACCTACATATATTTTATATTTAAAAATAATTTTATTAACGAAAAACACTAAAAAAGCAAATCATTTTTTAAACCAAACCAAGTGTAATTTTAGTAGATTAATTTAATGGTTAGAGTGTCCGTTGGTAAAAAAGTTTATGGTAGTTATCTTTTCTCTCCAAATTTTGAGTAGCGCTTTATTAGGCCGAGTCTAACAAGGTTTCCCTCTGCTACGTTTTTTGGTTCTGTGGCATTTTCACTCCAATTTTCACGAAGCATTTTATCAGACAGGAAAATTGGAAAACAATATTTACGAGATAATGTGAAAAGTTGTTTTTGCTGCTCTTAATAACTGGGTGGAAATTTTCGTTTATTAAAAAAAAGTTAATAAATGAATATAATTTCGACCCTTGTGCGATCGGTACTCACCGTAGGGACCGCAGACGTTCGGATACAATTAGCGTCTCTTAGAAAAGACAATGACGTCGACTTTGCTAAGTATCAATACATTTACTCTACACACACATACACTACACACCTGACTATAAAAATTCACTGTACCATGCCAATAACCATTAGTTGTCGACGCATTAAACTCAATAAAAAAAATAGTATTTTAAAAAATAGGCTGGTTATTTATAAACATTATCAAAGTAGTTTTTCCAAAATGTTTGAGTTTTCAGACGCGTTGAATGACATATATTTATCATCACACAATTTTATTTTCGTGATTTTTTATAATATTTAAGATGTTTAATTAAAAGAATATATTGTCTAACGGAACTTGATTTGCGATTTTTCTGACGGGTGAAATGTTTTGGGAAAATTTAAAAACAGCGCGCTGAAAACAAAAAACATCGCAAAGGGAAATCGTGTCAGACTCGGTCTAATAAAGCGATATACAAATTTGAACAGAGTATAATATATCATATAAACTTATTTGCCAACGGCCACTCTAATTATAAATACCAACTAATTGTTAAAATAGTCCTTATGACTAAATAAATCTAATCAATAATTAATTATTTATTGATAAGCGTTAATAGATTAAGATATTTTTGGTTAATTTGATTAGTTGTGTTTAGTGCAGTAGACATAATCATCCATTATTAGTAAAGGATACATTTTTAGTTTTGTAAATTATTCTTTACAAATAATGTATCAATATATTTACTAAATTTATACATAATCCAGTATATAGTAAATAAAAGAACTCTGTAACTTTTTGCAGATTGAATATCACACAGGTATAAAACTACCTACGAATATCCCGCAGAAGAATCAATACACGATATTGGTAAAAACTTAAACCATAAGGTCATAATAAAAATAACAAATTTTAACGATATAGACAAGATTAACTGATGTATCGAAAAATTTACCAATATCGATGTATATACAGCTTCTGATCTTTTATATCCTTAACTTTTTCTCGAAAAATTTTAACATAGATGGTATAATGATGTAAGAGTACACAAAATATAACACAACTGGAATCACTGTAGAATTCTGCATGAAAATAAGTGGTATTACAATAATTTATTACTCAAAATTGGCACCATAAAGCAAATATTTGTATACAAACGTCGATTTTAAAGATTGATAATATGTACTATAGGGATACAAGGCTTTATACACATAACCAAACTTATATGGAATTAAAACAATGAAAACTTTGTTGTCAAACTTGCACAAAATTTCACTATCACTACAGCCGTTTCAGCTGATTGCCTTTCTCAAGTGATCTATTTTCAGCATGCGTTTACACTTTTGAAGGATAAAACTGTTTGTCTCAAGTTGGTCATTCAGAATTATATCTGTGTTTTTTAATTTGTTGATTTCCATAGATTCTAACAAAGATAGCTTAAGGCCTTTATTTTGAATGTGGAGAATTTTAAATTCGTCATTAAAAGAATGATTATGATCTAGAAGGTGAAGTGTGTATGAAGATTCTGTTTTTCTATTATTGAAAGCCCTTTTATGTTCTGTTATTCGTTTATCAAAGTTTCTACCAGTTTGACCGATGTAAGTTTTTGGGCAGTCGCCACATTTAAGTTTGTACACACCACTTTGTTTGTAAGTGTTTTTTTATTTTGGCTCTTGTTGTTTTTAATGTATTAGCTTAAGTTGTTATTTGTTCTGAAAGCTGGTGTTATTTCTTTCTTTTTTATGTGTTTGTCTATTTTTGTTAATATTTTGCCTGTATATGTAACCGAGCAGAATGTACTGGATTTTTTCTCTTGTGGTGAAAATACTAAGTTCAGGGCTTTCTTGCGTAGTTTTTGATTCAACATTTTATAAATTGTTTGTTCGTTGTATCCATTGTTTACTGCTATTTGCTTAATGATATTTAATTCTGTCTCAAAATTGTATTTTGACATCGGAATTTCTGTTAATCTATGCAACATACTATGATAGGCTGCCAATTTATGTTTTGTGGGATGGGATGATGAATTGTGTATAGTCGTGTCAGTATGGGTAGGTTTATGAAATATGAAAAAATCATGTTTGATTTTAAGTCTGATAATTTTTAAATCTAAAAAGTTTATGGATTGATTTTGTTCTGTTTCTATTGCAAATTCAATATTACTAAGAAGTGAACTAATTATACGATAAAAATTAGTCGAGTTGCATGTTAGTTCCCGTGAAACATACTAGCACATCATCTACGTATCTCCACCAATATAAAAACTGTTTGAATATGGGTTGTTTTGAAATCTTTATCTCTAAATGATTTATAAACATATCTGATAGCAATGGGCTTAGAGAATCCTCTGTTCCTACAGAATCCTCTCTTTCCTAGAGAATAGCAAACCATGAAAGGGCTTTTAATAGTAGAAAAACAGAATCTACATATGCACTTCACCTTCTAGATTATAACCATTCTTTTAATGACGAATTTAAAATTCTCCACATTCAAAATAAAGGACTTATGCTATCTTTGTTAGAATTTTTAAAAATCAACAAATTAAAAACACAGATATAATTCTGAATGACCAATTTGGGACAAACAGTTCTCCCCTCCTCAACCTATTTCATTAAAGACTATAAAGTGTAAACGCATGCCAAAAATAGCTGAAACTTCAGAAAGGCAATCAGCCAAAACAGCTGAAGTGATTAAAGTTTAAAATAATTTTTGTGGAAGTTTGAAACAAAGTTTTTAGTGTTTTATTGTTACATAAAAGGAATTTCCATCAAGTACCGGTCGAATCCATCAATTATTATATCGTATTATTTGATATTTCTTATTATTTCAATCGAATTAAAAAAGTAAGCTACGAAATCAAAGAATATTTTTTTAAAGCAATTTAATTACCAATACATAAGAATTAAAGAAACCCACAAACTCTTAAATAATAAAATTGATATATGAAATTGTTTTTATTTATTTACGTTTTTTTTACTAGTCGGTGTTCCCAATCCTAGGCCTTATGCAAGCTCTAATTCGTGTGGGAATGCTCCTAAACAAATTGTCAAGATTTTATTGTGGTACGTTGTTTCCTTTCTTCAAGAGCAGCTTGTACTAGTTGTACGGTATTTTGTGAGTTATACCGAAGAGGTCTAGTTATTTTTTAAGTAAGTATATCACATAAATGCTCTATAGAGTTAAGCTCGGGTGAGCAAGCAAGCCACTATGGAAGAGTGGTATCTTCTGCTACAAGGAAGTATGTAGTGACTCTGCTGGTGAATTATCATGCATGAAAATTTTCTTCCAATGCACTTTTTCAGGATCTAAATGTAGGTTCTAGAACCAAATCAACATACCTGAGAGCGATTAAAGTTGGTTAAATGGAAATTAAAGGAGTTTTTTAACCAACCATATTAATTCTCCAGAACATTTTCTACTTTATGTCTGTGGACAGATGTGGGCTCTTTCTGTTCTTGCTTGTCTTCATCGCTCTCTAAGTACACGAATTCATAGTTTATATGATTTTACACAAATTCTGGTTTCGTCTAAAAATAGCAAATTTTGTCAATTTCCAATATTCCAATTTTGATATTAAAGACATCAATTTAGGCGATAAATCTTGGGCTGCCTGGTTAACTCGAAAACCTGTAACTGTCTACTGCTATGTAGTCTTCTAATCGTTTTACCTAAAGCACTTACACTTCTACTTTTCATAATTTGCTTTTAAAGTTGCGAGTAAGAAAGTGTTGGGTCTCTCATAGCTACTTGGACAATATAACGATCGTGAAAAGCCGTTATTACTTTTTGGCGATTTTATCTTTGTCTATTCTTAAACGTTCCTAACTCCTGATACCTACCGTAGGTTTTATCACAACGACCTGTGTTACGCCTACCACTGCACCTATGCCCTCTGAGATATTCGTTGCTCTACAAGACCAATAATCTTTACATTTTGTACATTCGTTAACTCCTTCTTCTTCTTTAAGTGCCGTCTCCCAATTGAAGAT